AAAAAAAAACGCTTAAGTGGCTCATGTCTCTAATACTTGTCGAATCCATATCTAATCCTTATTATCCTGCTAATACATACAACATAACAAATGGAAAAGTTTGTGAGTGAGTGTGTGAGTAGGTTTGTCGCCAACGCTAAAACGGCCGGACGTATTTCATTGGAATTTGGCACACAGATAGGCTATGACTTGAATTAACTTATAAGGTATTTCATAGGCGAGTTGCCACCTTTTTCGAAAATAAAAATCAATTTTTAAGTTTAATAAAGTAAAACAAAACCGGAATGTGGGTATCAAACAAAAATTGTTAAATTAACATTTTTCTCCAAAATATTTCCGAAGACGGTTGCAGCCTGTTTTAAAAACCTCATTTAACTAAGTTAATTAAATATTATATATAGATATTTTGACATCCACACAAGATTATTTTGAAAGCAATTTGTAAGAGAGTTGCCACCTTTTCTAAATTTAAACTTTTTCCGTTTTATTTAATTGAATTGTGTAGTTAATAGAATTTTTCATCAAAAAGGGAACTATCAACCCTCCTTAAAAAAACTTGTGATGAGCTGGAGAAAAGCTTTTCGGAGCTTGACTAACTCGTATAGATACTAACGTCTAAGCTAGGGTGATCGACTCGATTTTTCCAAACCATTTTCCGCCTTTTTTTGGATTTCTTACTGAACTATTTATTTTTGTTACATTTCCATGCGGCCCTTAACTCACCACGGTACATTCCTCTTCTGGGCCAAGAAAACAAAAAAAAAAACATAATCAATTAAATTACTTCCCGATTGCTTGCCAATATTCGGCATCCATTAACCAATGCTGCCCATCAGCGCAGCATGAATATCATCAGTATAATTGTACATGCTAATGTATTTATGAAGACATCATCACCATATTTTTGCAATATATGTACATATATGTATAATCGTTATTATTATGGCCTGCATATTGATTCAGCAATTCATTTACATTTTAACATGTTTACTCATGTACATATATAAATACTTAACATTTAATATTTTCATTTATACAACATTAAGGCGCTTGATTGCCAAACGTTTTTTTATTGCTATAAAATTAATTGATTTAACAATTTGCATTGTTGCCATTGTAGCTGTCGCTGCTGCTTTTGTTTTTATTGAGTTCATGCTTTTTGCACTGCGCTGGCTGAATGCAGCCGTGTTTAATTTTGTCGTCGTTGCCGTTGCCGTTGCCGTTGCCGTTGCTATTTATTGCTATTGTAGCTTTTGTTGCCGCGTGTCCGGCATTATGGTCGATTGCATTTTATTTCGCAGTCATTTTATTTGCATTTCATTTGACTGCGCTGGGCGGTAATAATTGGCCAAGCACATTGAATCACCCTCCTCTCACTTAGCAACTTTCATATCTACAAACATACACATGTATGCATACAAGTACCTTTTAAATACAATTGCAGTTGAATCAATTCAGCAAACGCCACACCCCACCCTTTCGGCGACACCTCCTCGCTGTCGTGCATCGATTGCTGCGAATCGCTGCTGGCTAATTGTTTTGGTATTTGCGGTGACCCAATTTTCGTATGCAACTCAAGTCTGTTATAAAATCCATAATGGCAAATTGATGGCAACATTTTTGCGCGCACTCTCATACACACGTACATGTACAGATATTATATATCTACATATGTATATATATATGAATTTATATAATTAAACTTTTATTTAACGAGCATTGGTATGTACACTAGACCGCATCAAGAGAAAAAATTAACCGTGCACCATAAGTCTAAATTATTTTCGCAAGGTTATTTCGAAAAAAAAAATATTTTCTTCCAAGCGTAGGGCAGTAGCATTAATAGTCACATCTTAAAGTATGATATATCCATGTTCTTGTTTCGAGGAAAACCATTTTTTTGCCCCTTACGTAACGCCCGAATACCAGTAAATTATATCTCGCAAAAAATAATTCAACTTTTACCAAAGAAGTGTTTGGATTATTACTCCAGTATAACTATATAATAAAGTACATAATAGCAAAAAAAAATACTTTCAAAACAATGTTTTTAAATATGAATCAAATCAAGCCATAAATATTTCAACTCCTGCGCCACCTATCGGCAAAATTTTTTGTGGATTTTTTTTTTCATATATCTAAGTGCTTATATCATAACTAAACGACACTCACATATTGACCATATTTGGCTACTTTTTTTTAGTTTTATGATTTTTTTTTATATAGTTTATGGTTTAACAATAACCTTATAAATCTAAGTTTCAAACTTTGTTGCACAATAAAAAAATCAAGAAATTTTGGTTAAAATTTCGAGCTTTTTTATTCCATATTTTTTAAATATTTCGGGTACGCAGTTTTGTAGCCCATTCAATTTTAGTGATAAAGTGCAAGTCTGAAGTAGCTGGGACTCACCATTGATATTTGGATTTTTTTTTTCATTTTTGTTTGCTTCTAAGCAAGGAATGAAACCGAAACCCAAACCGAAACCGTAACCGTTTAAAACCGTTTCATTTTTCAAAACCGAAACCGAAACCGTAACCGTTATCTTGACCTGAAAAGGAACGATACCGAAACCATTTCAATCACAGGTTTCAATCGGTTTCCAGAAATTTACAAAAATAATAAATAAAAATTTCTTTGAAATAAATGATTTATTTAACCAAAATCAGCAACATTTTGCTAAAATTCTTGTTAAGTAGTAAATAAGTATGGCAAGGTAACTTTTCGCAAAAATCTGCTGATGACTTTGTTGTTGTGAATCGATAATCGATTAATTATATTTAAGTAGTTTCTTTCCCGTACGCAATGCGAGATCCCGCGTAATAGAGAGCGAAAATTCGAGCGTATTCGATCGTAAGTGTATTCTTCTTCCTGCCCGAAACAGCCCGAAATTTTCTCCGAGTAAAAATGGATAAAGTGTCAAAGTGCATATCAGCTGTATTGTGTTTACATGTTGCCTGCATTTACTTGGTGCTTTTAAGGAAAAGTGAATGGCCTGTTGATGTATTTTCAATCTATGTACTTAAAATCAAATTTGTGAAACCAAAATTCAATTTCCAAGTGTTTGCATTTAATACCATGTTCTGACCGACAACCAAAACATTTTTCCTTCATTTTCTTTTCATTTACAACCTTTAACTTTCATTCTTATTTTGCTTTGGCCAGGCAATTAACAATAAATCCGAAATGGCGTATTAAAGATGATAAAATATGACTTCCACTTCGATAAATAATCGAAAAAAACTAGTGAAGACACCGATTGGAATGAGTGGAAAGTGAGTTTTCATGTAGTTTTCAGCGAAAACTGGTTTTCGTTTAACAGATTTTATGTGGACGAAAACACAAGTTTTAGGTCGAAAACCAG